AGCAGTTTTGTCAGAGTGAAGACAGTTTGTTCCATGAGCAGAGTGCCAGAAGGGTTAGACAAACCAAAGGACTCCTGAAGGACCTCTGGGGGGTGTTCTCATTGGAATACACAGGATTAAACAACTTAAGAAAAACTAAGGAATTCCCCAAAATAACAGTGTCTTTCTCAAACCATTCTGATACATCAAATGCTTAACCAAAAAAATAATAATAAAACACCAATGCTTCAGTTAACACCAAATGGCAATATTATAACCTGCTGTAAGTATAAAAGTACATTAAGGACAAAAACAAACAAGCACCTTCGTAAAGCCTTAGAGAATTGCAGATTTTATTTTATATTAATTTTTGTCTCAAAAAGGATTTCTTAATTTTATATATACACATTTGGAGATGCCTGGAAATGATATTAAGTTACTGCCAAATTTGCACTTGGCATAATTTGAGCTGTATAGAACTGCTTTGAGAATATGTTAAATCTGAATTACCTCAGAATAAATTAACGAGTGTTCAAAAAAGCATGTACAACTGTAAGTCTCTTGATTTTGCTTCACAGATATAGCCTAGACATATTTTAATACTCAGGAAAATCTGCCTATTACTATATTCTAATTAACAAGATGCATGTTACAAACATATTCAAAACATTACTGTACGTTGATCCTGTAATAACCTGCACAAAACATTTGTAACTAAATATTTTCAGTATTTTTTTAACAAAAGATGTCTTCGTAGAGATAACCTACAACCCTAATGATAACAGTAAAACATGACATTCACATTAGCAAAGAGCAAAGAGCATTTCCTCTATCAGTTAAACATTGGCTAAGTCCATTAGAAACACTTAATCAGCTGTTGAGAATGAGAGTTTATCCTGGATAAAATCAGTTGGCCACTGAAAGGCACAAGCTGACAAAGTGTGGGATCTAAAGCATAAATATTACCCTGAAGTGCCATTTTCACTTTGAGCCATGCTACCACCATATGCCTCACCGCCTTATTACCCCAAAACAGCGATCGCATTTCAAAAGCCAGAAGACTGGATTTTTTTTTAAATGACTGGCTGATCATCATGCACTTCATCATAGTGACCTACCTTTGCTCTCAACCAACCTCTCCACTTGCCAACAACCATGAAAGAGGTGCCAAGTTTTTAAATTAAGGAAAAATAAGTAAAATGAGTGACACAGCATAAATAATACAAAAGGATATTGCAAGTAATGTAGGAAAAATGTATTCAATATAAATTATGCATTACAGAGGTAGTTCAGTTTGTGACTTATATAGGTCTTATCAGAAAAATAATACATGATAGAACTTTGGTGCTTTGCAAATATTTACCATATTTTTGGATATTAAAAATGGACATCTCACATGGCAGGACATGGAGATATTAGGATATGGTTCTTTTGAATCCTCACACAGATCCTCCTAAATGAACCTGCCATGATGGTTACGTACTGAGTGAAATAAACTGGACTGCCAGGGGAGAAGAGCATTTCCTGATGCTTAACAACAACAAAAAAGAATCTATCCGAGGTTTCTGGGTAAACACCACAGGAAAAAGTTAGGAACTTTTAATGAATTTGCAAAAGCTGGAAAACTACACATACAGTATAAAAAATATGAGTTGAAATTGATCACCCATACACTTTTTAATGAATACCCATGACCTATCCATTTCTGTTTTATTACCTTCCAGACTGTACATTAGAGACTTAAGACTTACTTAAGTAAACAGAAATGTATCAGTCAATGTAAAAGAAGCTACGAGTTGTCCAAAAGCTGGAATAAATCTAGATAGTTAACCTTTTTGTTTCCAGCAAATTTAAGAGTGTCACATGTATATTTTCTTTATATTTAGAAAAGCCTGGTCAGCTCCTTCCCACCCCATTCCAGTAACTCTTCACACTGAGCTCTGCCACTTGGCTAGTGGATACAGCTGGCTATTGACATGACCCAGTCTCGCAACACTAATGTCTGGGCCACTGGGATCAGCTACAATCTGAAGTCCCTTTACTGGTGTTATCACTTGCAAGTCCCTCTGCATTAACTTAATAATACAGAGATTGTCATCAAATCACAAAAATATTAATTAATAAGGGTCTCCTCCATATTCATAATATGTAACATACTTCATATACTGTATAAAACAGAACAATATACCACCGACACTTGTTTCAGTCGAAATTTAGTTCCTGTAATGATGATCTTTTCATGAACTGGATTTGCTTTCTTAGTGAAGCTTTTTAAAAATTTACTTTTTTTTTTACCTTTCATGATTCTCTGTATATTATTATGTACTGTAATTTGTGAATAGTTCTTTAGTTTTTCTTGAACAGCGGTTCTGAGTGTTACAAAAACTACTTCCAAAATACATTATGTCATTGTAAGAGTTATTTAACACAACAGTTTTTATGATCAATTGAAAAGTTCAAATGATGCAATGAAATACATTTGAAATGTTTTCTTTAAGCAATCTAGAACACTTCAGGAACTCTCACAAATAATGTTTCGCAAGTACTTTTTTGGAGGGGGCAGTTATGTAATATCTATATTGTTCACTTCAAAGGCCGTTCTGTAATTAAAATGTCTGAAGCTTGAAATAACTGTCAATAGAATTTCTGAAGTATTACAGCATATTCTTAGACTCAAAGCCAAGTACAAGCCAAGTAGTTGTTCCCACATGGTGCAGAACAAATCAAAAACAAACAGTAATATTACTAGGGTTTAAAATAAAACTTTGAAATTATTAGCATAAATTCACCAACTGAGTCATTCAGTGAAACAAACGTCACACTGAAATCAAGCCTACCTTTTGTACCATTTCCTACAGACTTTAATTTGAAAGATTTCACACAAAACTATTCATGGGATTTTTATTGCTTTGCCATTGTTCTTGCTTTTTAATCTATACTACTACCCAAATTAAGCACTCTATATCAGTCAGCAACAGCATGTATGGGTAGTGAGTTTCTCTATCTCACTAGCCTGTGTCATGTAGTGGGTGTGGGTGTTTTAACATGTTATGCATGGCACAGAATGAGTCATAAAAAATCCAGACAAAATGATCATTTTCGTCTCTCTAATCAAACCCACTACAAAATAAGCAATTACTGTAATAAGAAAAACATATACTTTACTAATAACAATTGTGTGATCTTGAAGGTCATTTTGAAACATTTTTTTTTCCTGCCGGGATCACATTCAGAGTAGTTTTCTTAATATATTGTTCAACTGTTGGAATGCAGTCTGATGTGCACAGCAGCTTGTAGATCTACATCCTCCACTATCATTTGCAATAATCCTTTTAGATTTATTAGTTTTGGGTTTTAATCCAGGCCTCCGAAGTTCAGAGATAATGATAGAAAGAGAAAGAGATGTCATAGCTCCATTGATGTTTCAGTGGATTGGATTTTCAAACATGTAAATTGACAGATCTTGGAAAATGGTAGCATGAAGTTTTTTTAAAAGATTTTTATTTGTGTAGTAATTACCTTTGCTTCGGAAAAGCAATTCTGCTGCAATCAAAAACGAACCCAGTGGGGAAATAATATTAAACAATTTAGAGATTGTTGTAATAAAAAGGTGATAAGTGAAATTTAGATTTTTTCATGTTTTCTGCAGACAACACACCAGGTTTAACATATTCTGTCAGAGAGGATTATGATGATGTTATAGGCTTTCCATAAAATGGGTTCTCTACTTTATTATGTACAGAAGATCTGGCAATAATCACAGACAATAAATGACATGGGGAAATGGCTTTCTGTTCAATTAGAGACACTCTCTTTGTTTGCTGAAATTTAATGATTAAAACAAGTTATTTGGTAGTGGAAGTCTAATGATTAAAACAGTTTGCAAGATACTTTATAATAATAATGACATCTAGATATTGATTAAGTGAGCAGTTTAGTCTACTGTTCTTTACTGGAAAAAGTTACTGATTATTTGGTCTTGAAAGTAATGCAATGTTGGCACATTGCTTACCATAAGATTTTTATTTGTTGTGTGGAGAGTGAATTCACTAATATCAAAAATGATTAACTACAAGTTGTCATACGCATACTATAAGGAAAAAGTCCTATGGAAGAATGCAAATACAGAGCTGTATACAGTGTATATTCATTAAATAAAGCATACGTCTGAATAAACAAAGTGCTAATAACCGCATACTCCAGATAAGATATTTGTGTTTATTCTAGTACTGTTAAACATGACATTTGAAACCTTTTCAACACTATCAAATACTGCTAAAAATTACCGACATCCAGGTCATTGCAATGTGTGAGCCATATATAAGAATGAAAGCAATTAAATGGGAAATACATAATTAGCCCAAGCAATTTGAACTGTGGTCTCTATTATAGACAGCAAGTCCATAAGCAGGATGAATCCCAAAAGCTCCCCGATAGAGACAACACCGCTGAACCCCTCGTTCAGCTGATGTGTTTTTCTTAAGCTCCAAATACAACTTTAATGTAAATGAACTTTGACAATGTAATCTTTCCAATGTCGGCTTGCAGGAAACCGTGAAGATTTAATGTCAGAAAAGTCTTCTCACAGACTTCAAACAGCACAATGTAGGTGTACCAGGAGTAAGGGGATAGGACTTAGAATAAAGCGCTTCATTAAAAAAAAATAAAAAAAGATGAATAGACATCAAGTGAAATTAATATGCTAGTATACTACTCAAAAAATATAAAAAAACACAGCAGCAATGCAGCAAGGTAATCATTGTGCTGAATCCCGGAAGGCAGAGGGAAGTGGTCACAGGTGATTGTCATGTGTGATAATTATTATTACTGTACACCTGCTCCTCCACACTAATTAACTTTGGATATGCAAATCAACCCTATTGCATCATGCCCCTGCTCTCCTCCCCTACAGATAAGAAGATGTTCAGCTGCTGGATTTAATTAGGATAATGAACGGCAGGCCCACTGTGGCAGGGCAGGAGAAGAGGAGGTTGGTGGTGGTGAGGGGGGGTGTGACTGACCTTTTCTCCCAAAACGTTGACATTTTTCCTCTCTTCTGAGCGCTCCAAGTCACCTCCATGGCTGGGATGTTGATAGGAGCGGATTGATGAGGTGTCATTAGAGGAGAAAGCACCGTGGCCCCAGTGTTTGCTGGGAGGATACAGCAGGTGTTCTGACAAGGACACAAGCATTCACTGTTAGATGCCAAACAATTCTCTCGATTCAGTCAATTCAGGCTTTGCCAACATTGCCATGTGAAAAGGTTCTTTTTCTACACATTTATCTCTATAAGAGGTCAAAACCGCAAAATGTGACATCAGTTCTATTTTTCCTTAACTTCTTGGAAGATGTGTATATCTTTTTTATTTATGCCTCTTGCCCCATATAAAACATGCTTAGTAGTTTTACATGGTGCTTTACTATTAAAGGATCATTGACACTGGATTGATGGATTCATCTCAAAAGGCAGATCAGTTCTTTAACAGGAATGGCACAACAGCCATTCAAGAAAAAGAATGAAAAACTAATATACCTGCAGCAGACAAATGTACTTGTGTACTATTGTATGTGTGGTTTGGCAACAACTGGGAAGAAACCTGGGAATTTTCCTTCCTATTTAACAACATTAAAAAGTAAAAAAATGTTCTATTTCAAAGAAAATGCTTTTTTTTTCTTGACAGTATACGATGTGCCCATGTTCAAGAAAGACTAAGGATTTAAATCCTTAGTGCAGGATTCGAAGCAGGACAATATCATAACTCCTGAAGTTAACAATGGCTTTAAAGACAGCAAAAAGAACACGGATACAGTACATAACAAAAGAAAGAGAATCCTAATCCAAACTGGGGGACAAGAGAGTTCTTTTTTAAATAAAATTAGAAAGCTAATGATCAATAAAAAATAGTTTTTGAGTACAGAGAGAGCAGCATATACTGTCATCCTTTTAGAGCTACATAATAAAATGTAATGAAATTGAAAATATTTGCCAGGTGTTTAAAAATTATAATGAAAATATGAGTTTGCTATGGAGTGGCATAATGGTTAGTGATACTGCCTTAAAGCTTCTAAGTTTGATTCCAACCTTGAGCACCTTTTGTGTAAAGTTTACAGAATCTCCCCCATGTCTGTATGAATTTTCCTTGGGTGCTCTAGCTTCCTAAAGACATGCCAACCAGGTTAATTGGTGTCTCTGTATTGTTTCTGTATGTACTGTATGTGTTCCCTGCAATGTACAGTAGTTCTAACTTGTACGCCAAGCTTCCTGGGTGAGCATCCTCATAAGGACTGCCACAAACCTTAACAAACCGAGAACAAAAGGCTATCTAAAACTAAACTAATAGACGAAGGTACTTAAATGGAAATTGCAGAATAAACACATACAAATGATCAAATTGTTTAATGGATACTACTAAGTGGATAACAGTAACCCGGCAGTAAAATAAATTGGGAAGTATAATGGCATTAGGGATGTTCTGTGCCAAGCAGCTCTGGTTTTGTTGAAAATTGTGTGAGAGTTCTGGGATTACTTCATGGCACAGAGATTACATGCTGATTTAACATTCCTTTGATCTACTGAGATACATATCAGTCTCAAACATTTCAGAATATGTCAACATTAAAAAGTAACATCTAAACAGACCTAAATAAATGTATCTTAAGATACAGTACCACATTTGAGAAACCAAACCTTTTTTTTTTACAGGTTGTTTTTATTATGTTCCTGAAAACCAAGGAGTAGCATTAAAAGCGCTATAATGTTTTAATAGGAAATGGAATTCTAAAATTTCACAACAGGTTTTGTTACTCAATTAGTACTGCAGATGTAAAGTAATAAACTATGTAATAAACAAGATCCTATCCTATCGCTATTACAGTAGATAATGGAATCTTTTCCAGATACAGTGTTCTGTATCTATGTTTATCCTTGATTGTTTGTATCATATTTACAAGATTCAAATGTATTAACAGCATAAATAATTTAGTTGAAATAATATCTGCTATTTAAATTCTAAAATCATAAATCACATTTGAGGTAGGTTAGGAAAGCCTAACAATTTTTAATTAGTATAAGAATACAAATGTATGAAAAGAAGATGTACTGTAAGACTTCAAATTTTAAATTAAAAGACCATTAATCAAAACTTTATTTAATGAAAGATTTGAGCGAATTGAATTTATATCTAAATTACATCTGAATCTTTGTAACTTTCTATTTGCTGTGGTTCAAAAAGTTTGTTCCTATCATTTTTGTTAGTCGTATTGTATTATACTGTATATCAATGATATGAAATACGAAGGCTATCCTTTCTACAGATTTATGGGCAGAGAAACATTTTCCCCAAATTCTGAGTAGTAATTAGGGTCCAATAATTTATTTAGTAAACAGTCTATAAACTGTGCCTTTCAAAAATTCTATTGATGCTGCACAGAACCAAACATACCCTGAATTATTTAAAGAATAAATCTGAAATTGTAGTTATATTATTTAAAGTCTATCTTTTCTGAATCATAAACTGACTTTATTCTTTGATAAAACTGCATGGATTAAAAATATGGGTTTGTGTTTCACAGCTGGGATCTATTTATAAAACATTTTGCAGATAGTCATACAGTATGTATCTAAACATCTAAATTAAAGAAAATTAAAGAAAGTATTGCATCAAGCTCTAAAATTAAATGAGAGGTAAACTCATTTTGACAGTTCATCTCTTTCACTTTTCCTACACCTTGAACTAAATATGTGGTTATTTGTAAGGTATTTAAAAGTGGAGAACAAATATCTGCCAGTGTGTTCCACAGTGACTCTCTATTTCTTGCTGAGAGAAAGTATAATGAAATAGAAAACATATTGTACAAAGACAAACATCATGAATAATGCAAGCTCTGTCCAGGGATTTGGAAGAACACAGGGTGTAGCAAAAATGTACATCATTGTATTAGATGGTGAATGATCAAACCTGAAAATCTTTGTTAAATGTATTAAGTTCCAAAACAAACAATTTATATGATTTCTTAACTGTTGATGATTTTATTTATTGTTTTCCTGAGACTCTTGTTTATGTATACTAAGAGGCACTGTAAAGCAGCAGATGAGTACTGGAACTAATACCATTTGTTGTATTTGTAATATTTCTGTGTATAAACACTAAGGTGGTTAATAAGATATTGACAGTTTAAAAGATCTTTGGGCTAACTACGCAGTCTGAAAATATAATAATTACATACATCAGACATTTTCATTAATTTATTAATTCCAATTTGCTTGTGCACTTTGCTTACATGTTAAAATATTTTTATTTAATTGGTATGTAAATAAATCTCTCTCAAAACACTTCTTGGATCACATAATGTAAAGCTGTGAGAATGTCTGATGCACTGATTCCAGATGTAGGGAGAAATACAGAATCACTCTGCTTCATGAAATATATGCATGTTCTGAGAGATTCAGTTGAATATGTGCATATCATTGAAAAACTCCAATTTCAAAATGTAGATGAAGAATGCAAGAAACACAAAGACTGGTAATGCAAATGATATTAAATATTGGGGGCATTGTTCTAGCACTTTAAACTGCTACTTTGTGCTAAATTAATACATTCAATATTTGTGTGTAGCTTCAACAAGTTACCTTAAGACACTCTTTGGTTCAGCTGTTAAATTGATATTATGTTATATATATATATTATGTCTTGTATGAGCTATTTTCATTGATTCCATATCTACCTTGGTCCTACATCATAAAAAAATATAAAATAAACATATAGAAAATATTGGAAATGACCTGTGAACTTACAAATCGAACAGCTCGCATTCAAATAAATGAACATACAGTAGGCTGTTTAAGAATGATGATAATTGCTAAAACGTTTAAGATTTTTGAAGAGTTCACAAATTCACAACAACCATTATACTGTAATTTCGACTACTAGTTTGTAAAGTATGAAAACTGAGGAGTTATAAAATATTATAAAATATGCAGTTTAACAAGATAAACAAATCCCTGAGTAATTTAGTTTAATTTCATGATATAAGGACAATCTCTCTCAAACTCTGTTGGTTTACAGAGTATCTTCTGTCTCGTCTTGATTACTCCGATTTTAATCTTTTAGTTCTAGTGATTGATTGGGAAAGAAATGAGCTGTTTATTGGAAGCAAGAGAAAGAGACAAATTGCTGTTTTAGGTACACTGCCTTGATAACAGAGATGACTCAAGCTCACATTCCCACTGTACGCTTAGCTTCCTCTGGCTTCATTTGAAATGCTTCCAATTAAAATCGTTATTATTTTTTATTAAATTTGTTTTCTACAATAATTTGTGAACCAAATATATCTTCACCAGACACCCTAACATTGTAAACCATATGTAGAGTAACATACAGTATAACTAAATTCCTCTGCACAGATGAATTGTGAATCAGTAAAAAAAAAAATTAAAGCAAGCTCCTCAAGGTAGACAACATTAGTGATGTCGATGGTTTGTTTTCTTCTGAAACAAAGCAATTTCAGTATACATGTACATAATCATACACATCCACTGTACATACACATTATATGGAAGAGCTAAACAAACTGGTTAAAGTTAAGCCTTTGAGAGAATGGTTTCCATAGTGATCTCTTAGGCTGAATTTGTAAAATGTGTTACTAATCAGGTATACCCCTGGATTTTCCCAGATAAATGTAACACCCATTTAAAATCCCCTGATGCAACATGATTTAACCATTAGAACAACATAGGCATGTCATGGAATTCTGATACAGTACCATGCTGCAGTTTAATATGAGTTAGTCCTGAAATTTCTAGAACAGTCATCGGTCAGTGCCTGCAGCCATGTGTTATGAAGGAGATGTGATAATTTTTAAGTATGGCTTGCCTGAAACACTTGTTGGTGGTGTTAATCTACATTCAGGAACCATGCCGATACCTTGGTAGACTTGAGCACTTGCCAGACCTCCTAAGGGTTTTGAGTCTTATGTGCAGATGGATTCAGACAGTTTTGGCGTGTGTCTTTTAGCACCATAAGGGCAAGCGTTATGGAAGACCAGTCATATTTACAGAGTGGGAACTTTATACATTGTTGAAACTTACAAGCTGAGCAGAAACTCCTGGGATTGATTTAAAAACTAGTTGATTCTTTTTAAAGCAGAAAAGGCTATTTGGGGGATTCATGTTCC